AAATATAAAGGTGGGATTCCTAACCGGGCATGGACCAGTTGCGCCTAAAAAAATATTTGTATTTTAGGTCAGTATACCAATTACGCCGCTTAAATTATAGGTCAGTACACCAATACACCAATAGGTTCCTTATTTTTATATGGACATATGTTACTACACGGCGGAAAAKTTACATAATATGTATATGCACAATTAAATATAGCTAACTAACATATATTCAAATATACTTAATTTAAAGCAAAACGTATACGAAATTACGGGAAAATACGACAAGCTACAAGCTGATAATAGTACCTATATCCCGACTCGATGTAGGGCGAAATATTAAATATTTTATTTATTATTATTAACGAACATATTATTTTAAAGTGTGAATTTGTGAGATAGATTACTCGTATAACAAGTTTTCATTATCATTAAACATAAATTGTAATTATATTTTTATGTATATTAATTATTTATTATTGACGTGTATCTATGTGTATGATTTGGTATAGATTTATATTGTACAAATATTATTAATATTGACGTTCATTGTATAATTTTTTTGTATTGACTGAAAAAATCTATTTATAATACATATTTTTTAATATACTAGGTGTAATGTAGAATAATATTATAATTTATAAACCCTGAAAACAACTGAGCGCAATTGGTCTATCGACCCAAAAATACAGTGCAATTGGTATATCGACCCAAAAAAAGATAGAGCGCAATTGGTATATTAAAAGGTCATTTTAAGCGCAATTGGTAAACTTCCTCCTAACCTTGTAATATATTCTGTATCGGAAAATTTTTTTTTAAATTATTAATGCAAAATATGTCGCTGTTTAACGGTCCATTATTTTTATACTTTTATAACTTGAATCATTTTGATTATATTTATATCCTAATAATAAGAAAGCAAAAGATGCAAACATTGTCTTTTGTACCTGTACGATATAACATATAATTCGGTTTCTAAACTATAATTGGTATTTTAATTAGCCCTAATGGTTCTTTGAAACTGTGTTTTTCACGAACATCGTAATTAAAAATAGTACTATATTAAGGGTATTGGAGCCAAGTTCTATTGTTACGTGGCGTGATGGCCATACAAAGACCATACGGAAACATTAAATCAAATAATTTCAAGAATCAAAAACGAATTTACAGGAAAAACGTCATGTCTTGTAGAATAGACAAGGATTTAGATCATTTTTTTTTATTTTTCTAAAAGAGGAAAACTTTAATCAACCGCATTGTTCCCAATTTTTTTAATTAACTTTAAAAAGCGGCAGAAAAATACACTATACGATATTCAACAATTTGTGATGAGCAGACTTAAATCTTTTGAGAGTAAAGTTTTTTAAATCGAATTTCTATGCGATCAGCTTAAAGTCTCGCTTTTCCACTTAAAAAAAAAATATTTCTAAATTTGATAGTTTCGCTATGCGTTGAGTTTTTGTACTAAAAACCATGAGAATTTTCAAACACTCAAAGCATTTACCTATATTTATTGTATTTCAGCATTTGTGAAAAACACCACTGATTGTTTATTGCGTCTCGACTTTGCAACAAAATGTAATTACTAATTTATTGTTAATTACACAGTCACACATTATTTATACAGTGTACCTATATAGTGGTTTAAGTCTTAACGTCAACACTGGCGACAAAGCCGTTTCGTGGAGTTTATTAATTATACTCGGTATATAGGTATACTCATATTCCCCCCTTTTAATTATATATCGCTGTCTACTTCTAAATTATAGAATCTGTTGGATTTTGGTTATCCTTAGCTGTAGAAATCCCCAATTATTAGGTACTCCAAATTATTACCACCAATATTATATATTAGTGTAGGTTGTATAGGTTAGGTTAGCTGCTACACCAAATTTTCCAGGCGGTCTTCCCAGGGGAAATGCTGGACAACGCACTCCGATCTACTCTATAATATTGTATCCATTTATATAACAGTTCATTATCCGCAATGTTACAATAATATTAGGACGCCCGGGTTCCGAGAGCATTACGATCACCATAGACGCATTATACGTAAACGCACGTTAACAAGACGTTTTATTTCTGTTATGAACAACGCGTTCCTCTGGACTTGTTGTGGGTATAATAAATATTGTTCTGACAAACATAAAAAATAAAACATATAGTATAAAAATAATGTATCTTATGTTGTTGTTCAAGTATATACGTGATGTACTGGTCTACTCAATTTTTTATTGTTTACAATGAAAATGTTAACCCACAATGGTATGACATTTATACACTTTTTACCTTTTAAATAATCAATTTATTATTTCTGATATTCAACACATTTCCATAACGTTCGCCTATATATTTTCAAAATTAATACGCCCAAAGTCCACGATGTTGTTCGAAAAACTTGGATTGTCACTTGCCGTGGATAATTACGTAAATGGTTGATAGTTATATTTTATCGATTGCTCACCAACACTCGTCTATCATTTGTCTTGCCTTTCTAACCTTCATAATCAATAAAGTGATATGCAACCTACCTATAATATTAATATAAATACCACGAATTCCCATTCGATAATTGATACGTATTACTTATAAAGTTATAAATAATTGCATCTAATATTATTACTTAGGTAATAGTACTTATTATAATTCATATATCAACATATTGTACTTATCATATTGTACAAGTGCAACTATAGTTGTTCTAAAGACATATTATCTACAGTCTACACATTACCTATTTCTTTATMTGATTTTTTATTTATATTTTACAAACAACGTTTTTATATAATATGATTCACTCGTCCTCTATTGTGGCTTTTAATTTAAAAAACGATCTTAATGTAACTCGTGCATTTTTAAAACGACTTCATGTTTTTGAACCGAAATGAACAAAAATATGAAACAGAATAAATAATATAAGTAATAGCAGCAATGCAGCATGGTAATTTAATTAGATAATATTATGTTTAGAAATAATAAGAATTGTGATTCTCAATGAGAAATAAAAAAACACCGCGTACCAAAACACCACAATTTTTATCAATTTCAGAAAAAATATTAAAATACAATTAATTATAAATCATAATATGAGATATGTGTAAATTTTTTTAAGTTCGCAAAATGTTTTCAAAGATGAAAAAATTGTTTGAGTCTATGTAACAAAAGTTTAGAGTTACAGATTAGGTTTTGTATTAAAACGGATTACCCGGATCAACAGATTCTATTTATGAGATATGATGTTACACAGTTGTTATATCTTATATAGTMTGCAAGTGCCTCTACCTACTTATAGATAGGTTTTAATGATATATTACATATTATTGTATTATAATATAATACAATAATATTTATATTATAAATAATAATCGTAATCAATTCAAATGCATTTCCATCTAAACGAATATTATTTCATAATTTATGGTCTCCCATTGCTTTTGATATCTTCTAATCCGGCTTGTACGTTATACATATGTGCATAAGCATACTTTGGCAAAAAGTCGCGTTCTCTTAAAAACGCACAAATGGATCGACAGATCTCCAACRTTTTTAAATTATTAAACTGCTTTCTAAACTACAATTCTCGTGACTCCGGCTAATAATATTGTCTTCCAGTTTATCGTCGAGCACAGAGCACATAAATCCGTTTTATTGTTCGATTATATAATATATAATATACATAAGCTAGCGACTTACATGTAGTTCAGAGACTTCGCGATATATGGTGCGGTGGCAAAGTGTGCTTTGGCATCCCTATTTATTTCTGCATCTTATTAGCCTGCCATAAAATTTACAAACGCGTCGAATAATTCATATATATTATAATATAGTATATTGTATGAAAGTTAAAATATATATTTATTATTTATACAAAAGCTATTTCCAACTTTAAACTTTCCGAATTTTTTTTAAAATCATTTAAACAAATAGTAAAATACCATAACCCTCTAACCTCGTATCCATGCACTTACACATGAAATACAATTTGTATTTACTACCTATAAATAAGAAAAAGTGGCTAAACGATAAAAAAAAATTTGCTTTTTTAAATGTTGACATTCCTATAAAAAAAACTGCAAATGACACTTCCCCAACAATTTAATAATAATATTATTGCCTGCGTATACTGCAGCGTTTGAGATTTTGAGAGCGTTTGAGAGCGTTATATTATATCTAATAATAATATGTAATATAGTAATAATATTATTATGTAATATAATAATATAATATAATATGTAACATAACAATAATAATATCACCTGCACAGTGGATGGCACACCAAAGTCTTATTCGGTGATCGAATAAAATAAGGTAATTGGTTTTTGGTATACACTTTATAGGTATAAGACACGGTTAGATGAATTTATCACCTCGGAAATAATATATACGAGTAGTCTATTATGTGATGGCAGCGATTCGTTTTTGTTTGGGGTTGCATCTATTTGTATGTTGTTTTTAATCGTTATAATGACGAGAACCCCTGTGAGTATATTACATGTAATATATCTATTCGATGTATATGTTATGTTTTTAAAGTGTCGTATAAACTATAATGTATAGGTCAATTAATATGTTTGAAGAGCCTCAYTAAAAATCTGCAAGTTCTCTGTGGGTCATCAAAATAATAATTAAAAACTAATGAATAAAAAATATAATTAATTACAAGTCTCAAATTATCGAACATCATCGATTTTACTTATTTTTTCTTGTCTAAAGGCTGAATAAAATTTGTCTGCGCGCCGCCATTGGGCGATCTCAGGTCTAGGTTTCTAATCACTATATATTTTTTGGTCGCACATGCGTCGCGTAATTTGGAAATTATTCGTGGTTAAGCTATTATTTATATATTTTGTCCTGGTTTACAATATATAATTGGAAATCTTCCAATGACAATCGTGATTTTTATCTATGGTGAGCAGAAATACATTAAGTAGGAGGTTCAAAGACGATGGTCTCGATGGAAGATATTATTACAATTATTAATTATTATTATTATTATCATTTGCATCTTTCCACAGATCAGCCCGGCCACAGCCACGGTCAGCTTGAACGGGCAAACTGAGCTGAGATGCATGACATCTTCGTCGAATGACGGACCGCATTCGATCACTTGGTACAAGGACGGAAGAGTGATGGCGGGCAGAGCGCAGAGGGATGTCCTRAGACTCGTGTCAGTTAGCCGAACTGATTGCGGCACGTATCAGTGTCTGGTGCGCAGAGGCGACGGGGAGACGGCACAGAGCGCGGCCACCGTACGCTTGGGTGGTGAGGAAATTAATCTACCGTATTTTTAGTAGCGCCTGATTGYTTTTGAAAAAAAAGGATCTACCGTCCAGATAGTCAAAGTATACTGGAAAATAGTGTTTAAATTCTACTAAAACTATTATGTGGCACAGTGGCACACAACTAATTTTTCGCTATACGCAATTTAACTGCACTTATAATGATAATATAATGACAATATAAATATTATACATTAATAATTAATGATAACATTATAAGCTTCCTGCATACGCCGATCCCTTTGGTATGATATTAATTTTCACTTTTATTTGTTTAAAAATCACGCACGCGAAATTAAAATATGTGGTAAACTACAGCGTGACAAGGGGAGAGCGGTTCGATGGATTTCATTTTTTTTTTCATCATTTCCGACCGACGACTGATGAGATATTTGAATGTGTACACTCGAGTGTGAATAAAATTTTTACAAAAAAAATCCAATTTACGTGTAAATCAATTCCCACACACATGACAATAAAAATGCACGCGTCAAAATTAAAAATGTTTGATCGTTCACAAAAACCACTAGATCATTATAACATAGGTATTACAAAACGTGTTCGATCCGAGATTAAATCCAATATGTACAAGTTATGATTATTTTAACAATAATACCTAATTATTTGTTTTTATGTCATTAAATAACGTTTCGATAAGTTTTCGTATTTGCGATTTTTGACTATATGTCAACCGAAAATGATGATATTGAAAGTACTACTTTAAAATATATAGTATAGGAGCGTGGTTTGTAGTTGAAACACTTCGATAAAATGATTCTATAATGTATAGTCTTTCGTTTCCAAAGTTTCGTATATATTCGACAATAAACTATAGAGTTAGTTTGAATACGCAATCAAAATATAACTTTGAATATTTATTGACCCATTGAAAGCCGTGGAAAGTATTAATATATATTTTAATGAAAAATGCTCCTGCCGAAGTTCAATAAATATTATTCTAACATCTAACTTGATTTGAAAGTTTTACTCTATCACACATTAATAATAAAGTGTACTCTTGAACTTTCCAGTGAGCGTAATACTTATTCACACACAGCTCGTTTGCATAGTTTATAATTGATTTTTAATCAATTTTAAATACAAACTATATAGTTTGATGTCGAGAAAACATCTTCAAAATAAATATACAATGGTAATATATACTACACAACCAGCATTGCTCGACGATTAGAAAATTAACTCTATAGACTATAATATACGTTTCTTTTCATTTAATTTATACAATTTYGCAGACGCCCCACCGATTATGGAGTACACGTTCATTGAGCAAACTCTACAACCTGGACCGACTGTGTCGTTAAAGTGCAGCGCATCTGGAAACCCTACACCAACAATGGTCTGGTCGCTTGATGGTTTTAAATTACCAGATCATCCAAGGTGAGTGATTTTATAAAGCATATAGGTATACATCTGTCTTTTATAGACAGTATATACTATATATAATATAGGTACAATACTACAATGATAACCAGTCAATAATGTTTTACTGCATAGCAAATGATGTACATACTTATAATATTGTTCATGACCTGTTGGCTGTATCAGTGGTTAAGATACTATTTTGTAATAATTTTCTACACGTTTAATTAATATTTTTCATCTGAATATCATCATATTGTGTAATGTAAATGTAATATTATTTTATGTAGACGCTCTGAGAGTCTATCGTTATAATCGTGACAGTTGACATTTAAAATCTATCATACCAATATACTTAACAATTAGTAATCATTTGTACAACAAAGATTTAAAAAYATTATTTTCTACGTGAAAATGTTGGACCAACATTGCGCGATAAATTGTTCCAAAATAAAACAGTGCCAACTATTATCGGTATAAAACCCGTAATTGTGTCCACCACGCTAGATTTTAAGCAACATGCCTTATTCCCACCCTTCTTGCTGACTCACTCTATAAAGTTACAAAATAAGAGGTGGATTTAATTCTTAAGATTAAAAAAAGAAAATCGATTTTTCGACTTAAAAGTTTCGTCGCTGTTGAAAATAAATAAAAGTGAAAAATTCAACATCAAAGTGAATATCCGAACGAAAGTCTAAAGACTAAAGATTCTTTTCCGACTGAATTCACTACTAAAAGTCAGATCTTGCGAATTCCGTTGAAAGATTCACACGTGGATGGACGCATTTGTTGGTAAAATTCACATTAAATGAATGAAAGAACACGTAGTATTTTTATGGAACAATCGGACGCATGAAATCAGTTAGCAAAGAGGTCTTGTAAGAAGTTTTAAAAATTGACACGGAAAACCTCTTAAAAATGTTTATTCAGTAAATATGGATTGAAAATATATCAAACCACCATTACTGAGAAGTTAATGTTTTCATAGCAAATATAAGTATTGTTCTAAAAATATGACATACTGATGTTATGACTTAGGGGAAGATGGGGGTCGCACTTATTACACAGGTGTCGTGTTTTATGATTGTGTACTTTCGTACCATGCGTTTTTTATGTGTATACCAAAATGCAATACCAATGATATGSACACTGTACCTGATGATAATATTTTATCATTTTTTATTTTTTATTATGACTTTTCAGCATTTAACTAACCACATGGCTAAAGTATATTAGCTGCTGTTTCTTTTATATCTCATGTCTTTTATTAAACATAAACTATTTACACATAGTTTACCTAAGGTATTTCATAAAAAAGTGAATAATTACTATTGGCAAATCAACTTAATACTTAAAAAGTTATACKGTATAATATTATAGATTATAACTTATAGGTATACATAAGTATGTAGGTAAAAGGTAAGCATAATAAAACGAAATATCTTTAAAATGTTTACACAATCATAAATAATTTTTAAGTACCTACATTTTATTTATTTACAATAATTTGATAACCCATATGACTTGTGTTCAACCAAATCTATATCGCTTACGTATATCAATAAAATATATAATAATATAAGTATAATAAATATATATTATAATTTAAATATAAGTATATGTATCATTTAAATATAAAAAAGGGTTTTAGGCCTCCAAAATATGTTTTTGTTATAGTATGACGCTGGGTTTATAGAGTTTAACTTTCAGATATTTAATTGGCCAATATGTTACGTTGCATGGAGATATTGTTAGTCATTTGAACATTTCACAAGTTTTGGTGGAAGATGGAGGTGAATATACATGCACAGCCAATAACCGAGTAGGAACTACTTCTCATTCTGCTAGGCTTAATATATATGGTAAGTTTTACTACGAATAACAACTTAATGTCTTAACTCATGTAACACGCCAAACAATTATCAAAACTTGTATCAAATTTTGCACGTATATCATCAATTTTGATTACCTCCTGCTGTCTAATATTTAATTTATCTAACATAAAAGGTATAATATTGAGACTAAAATCATTTTACACAGACACAACTTTTCTAAGGCTTTATATGAATGAAAAAATCTGAATAACCCTGATTATTATATTCCCTAGGTTTAAATATAATACATTTTAAATAATTATTTGAAAATTGAAATGAAAGTACAAAAAAATGTGCRCATGTATAAAAAATTCCAAGGTACCACATTGTTCAAAATACTTTAAAAATAATTTTATATATGGATAAAGTCATATTAAATATTTCATCTTTATTTTTTTTAAATATACTCATTTTTACATTTTTTGTTTGAATACATCGTTATTGATAAAACCCATCTTCAAAATTACCAATTTTGATTTAAATATTGACATACTACAATAATTATAATTGTAATTTATAGTAGAAAAAAAGGTAGTTTTTATATGACAGACAGAAGTTTGTATATCCACACCCTTAGTATTACAAGAAATCACAAGAATTTAAAAATACGATAGGTATTTGTAATTAAAAATTCTTAAAATCAGATTTGGAACAACTGTATTATTGAGGAATAGATAAATGGAGTGAGCATCATCCTTAGTGGATCTTCCTGTATAATGTGAATACAATCATCATATAGGTACTTAAATTAATCTGTCCTGCTTATCGATATGATTCTATAAATTTTAATCTATTTACGTTCGTCAAATTATCGTATGCAACCTGCCGTAGGTGATCCGTACGTGAGACCGATGAACAAGATTACAGCCGTGGCCGGAGAAAATATGAAGATAAAATGTCCGGTAGCCGGATACCCGATCAATGAGATTCGATGGGAAAAAGGTGAGTGATGATGACTTACATAAATCATAAATTCATAAGTATAACCACAGTACTCCTACCTATATTATGTATATAAATAGTGTATAATACGTGTTACAAGCTAYGACTTACGGTTAAAAGTCGAATTCAGGTAATCCTTAGAAATGCCTGGAAAAAACATGAACTGCTCACAGTACTTGTGTAAAATGTAATATTTCGACTCTCACTCAGACCAACACAGTTGTGAGTTAATGACCAACATAATCTGAACAAAACCATGGCTAGAAACGATTTTAAAAATAGTAGGATTTTATTACAGTTATAACTGTTATAAGATTAACTCTACCTACATAACTAATAACTATTGTATTAAAGTATTATGTTAAAAATATATTATTTATATTATATTATATACACATATATAAAATTATTTAAACAATCATTTTTATTTTAAATTTATTTATATATGTATAGTATTAAAAAAAACGTATCTATTCACTGTAAAATATTCAAAATGTCATAGTTGAAATTTTGTTGGTTACAACTAGGTTTGCCTTTGCCCTTTACCAAAGTCTATATAAGATATTTTTCTCGAGTATACCGTAAGCAGTTTACGTTTTTTCCTCGGGGATTTCTGAAATTTTCCCTATTTCGGCTTTTCCTCGTAACATATTATGAACCATTACATTCGAATAACGTTCCTATTTCCGATTTCCTGTGCAAATACCTATCAAACAGATGGTAAGGAGTTGCCGGAGGACCTAAGGCAGAAGACCGACTTACAGCTGGGCGTGCTGTCCGTGCTATCCGTGCAAAAAGGCGTGGACTCGGGATCATACACATGCATAGCAAATAACAAACACGGACATTCAGCTAAAATGACTACCACAGTGGACGTGATCGGTAAGGTTTTTGACCATGCGAGTGCACGCGCCTTTCTACGGTTCAAGGGGTATCGAGCGATGGGATTTCTATAGTTGGAATAGGTACTCGATATAGTGGCAATGCGTAAATGAGKGTTGTTCGGAAATAGGACACTATCCTGGAGCGTATATCGTATTATCGTTTGAGAAAATACCGAGTTACATGATTATTTCGGCGGTGATAGCTATAAGTGGTTGTAAGAGTGGTAGTTGTGTCGGTGGTATCTAAGAGTTGCGGGATAGAACCGTCAAAGTTTAAGTGGAAAGTCATCAACCAAAATTATTGCACATACGTTATATAGATGCACAATGCACATATTATATTAAAATATATTACCGAGATATTCTCGATTACTCCGACTGGACTCAAATGTTTTAAATTACAATCACAACAGAAAAAAATGTTCCATTGAAATTTGTTTTATATTTTCTACCGTTTTCGATCAATAAAAAAAATAACGAATTATATAATTATCGAGAAACAACATTGTTACCTACTTTGTATGGTATTTCTTATGGCTTTCAATTCATTTAATTCTATAAATTTAAAAAGCAAAATGCGATGATACTTTATTTTAATTGTTTGTTACAAACCGTTTAATGTTTCATTATAATTTACTATATAGTTAATTTTAATTTTTAATAAAATGATATAAAAATATAATTTAAAATGAATCATTCATAAAATCTTTCAAATAATTATATCAATAATTTTAAAATCTTTTTTATTGACCATAGATATCATCTTATCAATGACAAAACCTTTTGATTTTAGTTTTTAAATTCGAGAAGATACACCTTCCTCAATATTATTATTTTCACAAATAGGTAATCACCCGAAAATATATAATTACTTTTATAGTATGTAAAAAAAAAAAAATTAAATTAATAAAATGTCCATTAATAATAATCTCATTAGTTGAATAGTTTTGATTTTAAAGTTTGTAAATATTTATTTTTACAATATAAATAGCGACGGTGTTGAAATTCATAATACTTTATAATATATATTCGTATAATCGTTTCATAGATATAATATATTATTACAGTTCCAAAACAAAATTTAATATATTTTATGAACAATTTAATATCAGCCATTAACATAACATACATTAAATTCATTAATTTCCTGCAATAAATTAATTGCACCATTCAGTTCTAACGAGGCCACCCCTTGGACATCCTTTAGGTTGATCATATTCTATTCATGTCAAAATAATAGATTTATTAACGATAAATTAAAAGCATAATTGTTATGTCAATATAGGTATGATATTTTTAGATTATTTAAACAAAACGRATCCCACGAAATTCAAAACAAAGTATAATCTGCCTATAATTATTAATTTTAATTACACAACAATTTCACGTAAAAAATAAATGAAGAGACTTTTCGGTTGATGATTTTGACAATTTTTAACTTATTTTAATTTTTAATAGATCATAAATGAGAGGTCCAATAATATTTTCTAAAAAACATAATATGATAACAATTTTTATTAGTTATCAAAAATAATATTTATATATTATATATATGATAATTATTAATGACTATTTCATTCGAACATATTATTTCCTTAATCAATTATTCAAGATTAACCTTTCATAATATATGTTAATACTAATGTAACATATTATTATTATTATTATTGCAGTATTACCATCGTAATAACGAGTGTTCTAATAATAATATGCCGTTAATGTAATGGATACTAGTTTGAACGCATACTTCAAAATCAAAATACACATTGTTTCCGTGAGCCTATATTTGCTGTAAGCCTAACCATTTCATCAACGTGGTGTATATAGAATACCAAAGTAAATAATTAAAATTGCGGAACTTTCGAGTGTATGATCAAACACTATAAACAAAAGTATCATCGTTTTGTATTTAATTGAAAAAGTTTTTGTACAGATGAGAAATATCGTTAAGATTGTTTTGATTTAAAATACATTTCCCAGCTATAAATTTGATTTCTCTTAAAAATKTACTCGCCAATTCTCCAAAAAATAAAATATAATATCTATCGTTTTTATAACATGATGTTACGTTATAATATCCGCGTGTTTACCTTATCAGTCGAGAGTATTCATTTTAACGTTGAACTATATAGTATTATATCATTATGTGAAAAATTATCCGTCAAAGAAAGTATTATGTTTTATACGCAGTGCATTAGATCCATATTGTACAGGATATATTATATACTCAAGTACACAATACAATGTTCGAAAACCAGACATGCATTATAGAGTGCAAAATCGTGTGTAGCGATTGGAAAACGTACCTGACCCTGATTCCGGGAAGTTTATATTTCTTGTAGAACCTGATGATATTTTGGAATATTAAAACCACGTGATCGAGTGGAAAACGAATTTGTTCTACAAAGAAGAAAAAGGTTTCCTTCGATACAAATATTTCACGTGCTCACCGAACGTGTTACGTGTATAATATATATTATGTATTTTTAGTCACGAGCTCAGCTTAAGGCACGCAAAATGGCTGCAAACGCAAATTTTGCAATAGCGATAGAAATTCATATAGTCATCACAATGAATTTAAAATGCGTTACCTGTTGAGTGCTGTGTTCAATTCATATTGGGCTTTCCAAAAGGAAAAAAAGGTCATCGATACGGAGTATCAACCTTTGGTGGTACCACGTAGAGAGGGCTACGTAAAGAGGGGCCAACATGAAAGATTCATTTTCAATATGTTTGTGTTTTTCCTTCGCCCGAGCCACCTTGAACCGATTCTATATATTATTACCAACAAAGAAAATATTTTTGAACGCACAATTTAATTTCGGCCAATAATATACGATATGTCAATATGTGTGTATTTTCTTTTTAAGTTTTCCKCATTCGCCGCCAATGGCATAATTAAATTTATAACTTCAATAAATCGGGAATATGAAAGAAACGTTTACATTTTAGGTTGTTGTGGGAAGTTTTTCTACAACCGAATATACTTTTCTCTCATTTTATTTCGTCTGTAGCGCGTTTAAATATGTCTGCTGTTCCTAATATTTTCTTCGTGCACGTAATAATGTATAATATATTAATGTTTAATGCTAATGTTTATTTTTAGCAGTTTTAGAAAAAATATTTCACTTCAATCTTTGAAAACGAATTGCATGATATTAAAATAATATATTCGCACCATTTCGCGTCACGGCTGCACATTACGACCAGGGCGACGGAAGCGTATAGATATTATAGGTATATTGTATATCGTACGACGAATTCCTTCGAGTGCAGCCGAAAGAATTTTTAATAGATTATAGAATATAACCGTTCACATTCCGCAAACGTAAATAATTGTATATTGACCGCAACCGTTTTCATCCTACAATTCGTTTTCTGCCGCTATCGCATCAAAATATTTTTGTCGTCGGTGTACCCTAAACAAGATTTCTTATAAACTCACAAACTTCTACAAGGTAATGAAAAGTTTTTTTTTTTTCTCTGTTCACATTAGCAACAATGACTACAACATTTATAAATTCAAAAACATTTTGCTAATTTAATTTTAATGGTTAGAACAAATTTGTCACCTACCTAACAACTGTAAGTTTACCACGTTTTCGGTAAAAGTTAGATATTATTATTTTTTCAATATTAATAAATCTGATTTCAAAAGTTTAAATGTTAATACCTCAATCATTATCGTTATTTTACAAGTGTCTATATAGGTATAGAACATAATAACATGTACCTACATAATGTCAGTTATTAAGTTTGGTTTTTGAAATTTTCTGTGTGGGTGCCTACAAATTAAATAATATGAATTATTATGTATTTGCTGTCTCCGTTCCTTGCACCAATTTCGTTTAGCAAATAATATTCACAATATTTTTTAATGATATCTGAAGGAAATATAATAAATGCACAACTTTAATTTCAAACTTATCATTAGGCCCAAACACTTAATTAATACGAATAACGTGACGATAATTTATAAACAAGTCCATATGATTTATGGTATCATTATATAATGTACTTGACTTACTATACGTGTGACATGTTGATGCAAATTTATTTCATATCGTAAAAATGCAACGTCATAAAACCTCGCAATTCCGATACGTCAATTATTACGCTGCTGCACATCTACATAGGTACATTACACGATCATCGTTAACAATAAAAAGCTAGCTTCCGATATTATATTTATCATTACCGCGAATTATAATAACCATCACCGCGAATTATAATAACCATCACGGTCGATTCGTCGTGGATAATATACATCATAAATACATAGTATTATTATGATAATAAAATAATATTGTACGTAGTWCATTCAATCATCTTCCTTTAAAACGATCATTTTTGTTTTTATCGCGGTACTTTTCGTCGTGTTCTTAGTAATACCCGAAACACGTAAAAATTGATCGGTGCGGTGCGTATAATATACGCTAAGCCCCAGACGCGGTGGTAATTTTGCCGGAAACCCTCCTCTATACTGTATTATATATTATACATGAATAAAATTACGTTCCCGAATGCGATAACTTCCGGGTCGCCGGACAGTAAAAACTTATCGTTCGAAAGTGTTCGACGACGTTACGACGAAGTAACTTTTTGCGAGAAAAAAATTATGATAAAACTCACCCTGGCTGTAGTCCGATACGCAGTGATCGACAAGTATGATAAACTTTTTTGTCTCATAGATACTTTCTAAGATAAATTCGATGCGAAAATTTCCCAAAGTGCCGATCACTATGTCATATTATACGTGTTATTGTTGTTATTGTTATCTATTCTTATGAATATAACTAGGTACCTAMCTATGCCAAACTGCAAGTAGCTTGCAATAGCTAGTTGGTAAGAAAAAATCAAACCTATTAATTTTTTTAAATTTTAGTTAAATTTGTATTTAGGTAGACATTTTAATTTCAATCATAAGCTCAACAAATGAATACAACAAAATGATAAATTCTAATTTTGTTAATAACACTAAYAAAATATTATGTATTTTTATAATACATTTTTTTAACACTATCCACGTTTAAATTACATTACATTTTTCGAAAATAGCTATGGTTCAAAGTTGAAAACTTTGTAGGTATCGATGAGACGAAATGAGCCATTCCAAAATTATTTTTTTATCTACTACTATTATACATCCTGACCATCCTAGCTGTTTTATGGTGTTTAGAAAACAATAGCATCGTTTAGTCCTTCATACTGGGCAATTTAACACCCCACCGTCAGAAAATTCCGCCTTTTTTTGTAAGTTGATGCGATGGAAAACGAAAATCTTGGAAACACACGAGATATTATACGCATACTATATGCGAAACGCCTACAATTCGCTTTACCATCACCGAGTTGGTTTCCAGGTAGGATATAATATATAGTATTAAGTATACGAATTGGTTCTAATAAATTTTCATTTTAATATAAAAGTTATCTTATTCGACTTATTATTTATTAAGACGATAAAATTAATTCGTTACACGTGTATACGTATTTGTCATTATTGATAATAATGATGAAGTCTAGCCCAGTATCAAATAAGTTGGAGTTAATTAAAATTAATAACATGAAAAATTAATTGGTACAATAATTTATTACAGCATCCAGTTGCTACGAAGTATAAACTCGAAAATTGGCAATCATTCAACTTCTTCGTGTATTTCATTTACAAAATAATTGGATTTACAGCCGGTTTTCTGAAATGTAAATGTGCATCTTTRTTTTAGATACATTTCACATTTGATATATTTTTTAATTAACAAAAGATTATTCGGTAGGGAGGAATAAAATTCTGAACTAAATCACTCATTTTGAAGTAGATGAAAACTCTACTCAMATTTTTTGTGGAAAACCTCTGTTATCAGAACTTATGATGATAATACCTATTACCTCTATATTCGTACCTATACGGAAACCAATTCGAATGGTTGCGTGTGACGATGATGGTGATGTAAGGTTATTTTTGAATTTTCGATTTTTCAAAATTCGAACGCTCTCGTTGTTGCTACCCCACGGGGACCAACATTTATATTTCCCGACGTGCTTATACAATCCTGCAGTGGCGATCGGGATACGATAACTACATATATATCCATTAGGTACCAACCACTGTCATATCCCACCCAAAACACGAATTTGATAATAAATTGCAGCGCCTCCGCGGCTTAGCTCGCTTCAGACGGAACGGACGGCGAACGTGGGCGAGCGGGCCAGCATCACGTGCTCGGTGATCAGTGGCGACCTGCCACTGACGATCGCGTGGTCCAAAGACTACGACGGCGGTCCACTTGGCCCGGCCGCCACTGTCACCCGGGTGGACAATTACAATAGCGTGCTGGCTTTCGAGACGCTCGGGCCGCAGCACACCGGAAACTATAGTTGTGAGGCCGGTAACCATGCGGCCCGACGCGTCGTTACGCAGCGGTTGATCGTCAACGGTAAAAGAAACGAAAATATCCGACGGTTGCCCGTCGACGGTTTTTAAAATAAAAAATTTTTACTACCTTTTTTGCGATTTTTACCCCAATCGACTCTCGTTTGTATTGGACCCCATACGCCCCCCCCACCCAGCTGCTGCCAGTCGTGCGTTTTATGTAGCTGAATTTTGTTTTTTTACTCGTGGTATATTTTATACATATTTATATTATTATACTGCGTCGTCAGCGTTTTGAGTTTATTACATTCAATTTTTTTCCATATATATAATATATATATATATATATGTATTTGTTGTTATTTAGACGTATTTTTGCGTATATATTACTATTACTATATATTTGTATGTGTATATTGTTTATTTAACTTTTCTACGTTTATATTATTATTATTATTATTATTATCGTTATCACAATATCCTATAATATTGTGATGGGTATTTTACGAAGTGATTTTTTTTTTCAAAAAGTGAGACACACACAATAAATTGCTAAGCCAAATGTTGTGGTTAAAACTTTATAAGAATACAAATTAAAAATTTTTACTGTATTGTGCCGAAATTTTACAAAAAAAAAACTTAATAATTTTTTGCTGGTATGCGAAAGTCACATAAAAGAAAAAAATCACTCCGTATAATACAAATATATTTATTATTATTATTCGTAATAATAATACGTATGTATGTGTCGTGAGTCATCCTTACTGTTCTGTAATGACGTCACTGCATTTCTTACAGCGTTTATTATTATTACTATCGTACCTATATACATTTATATATTTGTTTTGTTTTCCCATTAGTACCTCCCGTAATTGAGCCTTTTAATTTCCCCGGCGACGGGCTGGTAGAAGGCACGCGGACGAGGGTCGTGTGCGGCGTGAGCCACGGCGATCCTCCGCTGAGCATCGCGTGGCTCAAGGACGGCGCGCCCGTCCTGCTGCAGGACGGCGGCGGCGGTGGCGGCGGTGAGGACCCGTCGGCCGCCGTCGCCACTGCCGCTGCGTACTCCAGTTTGCTCAGCATTCCCAGGCTCACTCGACACCACACCGGCCGGTATACCTGCCAGGCCCAAAACCCCGCGGCCCAGGTCAGGTACACGGCCGCGCTGCTAGTCAAAGGTAAGTGCACACGACAAATGCCCCGCCAAATGCCAATCCATCATCCCCCGCGCTGCAGTCATATTATTCCATCGACAATCACATCACACATACCTACACACGCACGCGCGCGCGTTGGACTTAAGCTCGACAGTTCGATCGACTCGTTCACGTTATACGATACACGAGACCATCATGATGGTAGATCATTATATTATTATTGTTGTAACATAATATTCAATTCATTGTATACACCCTCTTACAGGATGTATAAAACCCGAAATCCGGCCAGACCAATTCACTGCACTCGTTCTGAGTGTATACGTTTGCCTGGTCAAAACAAATATCGTCTTGTTTACGTCATATCATACAGCTTTCGAGTTTTATTAACATTTACATATAAATTTTTACTTTTCGAAATCTATTCGAGTCTAGTAGCATACTTTAAATATTAATCTTAAATTGGAAAGTTTACAGATTAGATTTTTAAAGGTGTTCATTTAGAGATATTTATTATACACACTCAACAATATTTCGAACATTTATTTTTAAATTCGATAAGTACACTTCGTACACTTCGTACACTTCGTACACTTCGTACATTTTTTTTTTTTTAAACGTAAAAAATAAACTCAAGTTTGTGGTCGTTGGCTGCAGCTACTTATATTTTGTACTCGTGATCACAATCACACGCGTAATAATAGTGCACCAGCCCATTCTCATGTACGGACAACCTATATAGTTCTCATATTAAACATTCAATATTAATATCGTGATCTACTACGTGCCGCATACCGTGATTTACGTGACCGAACTTAGAGGATGTATCCGGCGCAGACGACGTATTTCGGTCCGATAGAACGCGTAATCCGTCCGTCCGACGATTTCCGTCGGGCGTTTTTCGCGGTCGGGCCATCAGAACACAAACATTTTATATACGTTGATAAAGCGTTTGCTCGGCTTTTGCACCATTACACCATTACTACCACCACCACCACCACCACCACATATTATACGTATATATACAATTTGCAGTGTCGAGAGCCAAGCGACCGGAACTCGTTTATCGTTTTCAGAATCCGGAGGGTACATTTAAAAAGACAGTTTCGTGGCGGTCAATTATTCCGCACAGAGTTCGAACGGGTGCCGATCGACCGTATTACGTAAATTATGTAAATAAAAACGAAAATAACAAAGGTTCGAGAGCGTATTCCGATCGTATAATGTAGTATATATACACGTATATATATTATATTATAATATGTGTTTAGCTCACATCGTCTCCTCCCTCCCACTCTATCGATCACAAAACCCATTAGACTTGGACAGAATGTACAATATATCCGCGGAGTAAAGTTTATCGTAAAAAATGCATGGAGACAAAAAAACGCGTTAAATTAATAGTTAATACAAAAAAAAAACCAATCGACGTTACGAACAATGTTTCGAATAATATAACCGTGCGTACCTATCTAATCATTACTCGTTCGGTGTAAATAAAACAAGAGCGCGACTATATTAGTTATTGTAATTACGGCGTTTTATTCAAAATAAAGATAGCAAATGTTGTCATATAAAGATTTTTTGCGACGTGAATTCAGCTATTTAGTACATTTAAACATTTCCATTACTAGTTTTTATTTTAAAACCAACAATTATCATTTATCACTATCGATAGATGGACATTACATAATATATTATTATTTAATCTTATATACCTGCTAGTAAAATTATTCATAATTCATTTGGTTATAAACGAAAAGAAAAATAGCTGTAAACTTTTATCAGACCATCCATGATATGCCATAAATTATATCCGCATTTATTTAAAAAAAAAATCTTCCATTAAAATATGAATTTTATACATTATATTTGAATATTTAACTCAAAATATTACACTGTTACATATTTATGAAGCCCGCGACGTTTGCTGAATGCGTTTCCTAAAAGGAAGAATAATTATAAGCATAATTTTTAACAACAATATGGCTAATTTTTTTTATTGCTGAGGTGCCTAGTTTTTAATTTTGAAACGTATTCATGGTTTTGTGCGACGATATCCCGAGTTGTGGAAGTAAACTTTTGTTCGTTTTGTATTAAAAAAACTGAAAAAAAATTCCACTGCAGTTTACGYCCCATTCGATATTATAATAATAAATTGTAAAGCTATTATAGGAGATATCGCATTTATACACTTACGTACGTACGTATATATTCATCCGATGATAACAATAAGTCCCGCTAAACTTGTATTCATATTATCCAATGTTACATAATATGATTTTAATATTCGTAACCGATTGCATCGAATATCGAACAGCGCGTGTTTTTCTTATATTTTAAGCGCCTACAGAGTGGTGTCACTCATGTTTTCCGTTACGTCGAGTACACATGATAATAGGTGTTAAGCATTTTGGAAGAAACGCTTTGTGTTATAGACGATTCAAGAACGTTCTTTCATTATAATACATTTTTCATTAAAACCCGTTGAAATGCAAATCAAAATCTCTCGTTTTTTAATTGCRCGATTCTTAATATTTCCCGGCGCTGTACAAGGAAATTCTTCAATTAAAAATATTAATTGGAGTTTCGCTAAAATAAAAACAAATTCTGTATAAATTAATGTTGATTTTTCATTTACGTTGCGCGATGTAAATAATTCATAAAAACATTTTTTTATAATCATTTCTCCGTTGACCATAAATTTTATAACTACACCAAACTCGTTCAAATGGAAAGCAATTATAGACATAAACCTACTCTCTCTATTATATACATGTGCCGTATACGAAATATTTCCGTTACAAAACGCGATCTACAGTCCTACAGATCAGCAAAAACTGTCTTTTTAAATTTCACTCGGATTGATTGATATAGGACTGAAAATAAAAAATTATAAAAACATCGTCGKAATTAATACGACTGCAAATGTGGTTTGCGTTTATGATTAATGTTTTACATACGTATAAAGCGTAATTATTTATTGTACCACAATCGATGGAAACCAGAACGTGTTTCCGGTCGTCGTAAGCTCTTTATAATTTTGTAAAAAATCATGTTTTATAATGTATAAGCACTCAAATATTAGTCACACGAAACAATATATATATACATAATATTCTATCGTACACCAACTTAAATCACAAAACGTATTTATCATTGGAAACTATCACCAGTTATATGTTCACGATCACTTACAGGTAAAACTAGCACTTTTTATTTACTATTATTATTTTTCTACTATTATTATTCATTCTTACTCTTATAATATTATATTTTTATACTTTTATATTTTTATTACGTCTTATTTACTCTGTTTAATACTTTTTACTCTCGTTTAAATTATTCTAAAGAATTTTGTTTTTCGTCTTATTAATCCGCACTAGATACCTATTATAGATATTATACCTATAATATGTCGTCATCACATCGTCTATACTCCATATTATTATTTGTTGTTCATCGTGAGCAGAGGGAATCTGACATTGATATTGTAAAACAGACTGCCATTATAATGATGATATTAAAATCGCTCGTGTAGGTACACTATGTCATTCATTTATAAATTTATTTTTTCGCTATCGTTAAACGCGTAACACGTTTAATGATATATTATGATGGTCTGCGATGCACTCGTCGTCACTGGCTACATCGGTTTAATAGCCTATTACGACCTAGGTATAACCACTATAACCTCGCTACCACTATAGCTTTAGTGGGGTACAGTAAACACGATTCAGTACATAATGTTATATAGTTTCGCCGAAGAGTAATACTCTCTTTCCCTCTCTCTCGCTCCTCTATCTCTACCCTTTTTTTACGACCAATTTCTATTCACTCTGCTCGTATACTACGTATATATATAGGTTTTACGATGTACCTACTCATCTCTTTACGATTTTTTTCTGCTCCGTCATTATAATAATATTATATTATAATGTACGCGTTAATAGAATTTGCATGTTTTACACTATCATTGTTTAATCCATTTATTTCGCATTTAACTTGCACCGCACGCGGATATGCGTACACGCACAAACGTATATATATTATAATAATATTGTAATTTATTTATATTATAATATAGTCGCGTAACCGTGGCRCGACGTATGTACAGAGCGATTCGCCAAAATCATGATTGCTCGCTCCCATTTTAACCTTTCGTGGACTCTATGTATATCATTACGCTTAATGAATATTATAATATACATTTAAAGTTTAATAACTCGACGGCTTAACAGGGGAGAACAGGGTTTTAGCAGGGTTTCTTAAAAAAAGAAACTATTATTGCTAGCATGCAAGACGCTCCTTAAATTCCATAAAAAATTCGAATGTTTGAAAACATACGGTCTTTAATGTCTGATACTTAAAAGTTCCAAACATCAAAACTTTAATAAACCGCATGTAATCGAGGATAAAATAGATGGGCGGGTGAATCGCTCTGTCATATTATATTATATTATGATATAATAAACAGATACACTGTAGCTGTATCTACGCATTATATAATAATATTATTATCGACTTTCGCTGTTTGTTCAGCTTGTTATATATATAGTTCCATAAGCGCATGCATATAGCTCGTGTAAGTATATATAATATTTAGTTATAACGTGCAYGATGTATACTTGCATATTATACGTATAATAAAAAATAGTTAATTTATTGTCATAAATGATATTACATGTTCATCCGACAAGAGACGAGACGTCRCGACGGTGGAAAACGCGAATTTATTAAAAAGTAATCGTTTATTCAAGGCGTACAATTAACATTTTACTTTTTTTTTTATGAAAACATATCGATGACCTATATATGATACACTAATCACACAATGTATGTATAGATATTTATTACCATCATTCCCCGTAATTTTCCGACTGCATAATCCGTTTATATGTTCGCTTATGTATATATCGCTATACATAGTGTACACTCGAACTCGATTATAACGATTTATCTGCAGCGATAAGGTGCGAATCGAAATGCTTTTCCATCGTCCTTTGTCCGGATGACCGTTAAAATTTAGACAATAACATGTTATTATTATATTGTGCAATATGCAATATGCATATTTTAGTGCATATAGTATGTTATGTTGTGTTTTTGCTAATATACTACAATTACTACAATTATAATTATTGTATATTTCGCTCGATGCATCGATTCGCCAAACGCAGCCCACCCCTGTTGACTTTCCTTGCTCAAAGTCAACAGGGGTACCTAACCTACATACAAATTATATTATAAATGATTACAATGTGTATAAGAAATCCTAATAAATCACTGTTTGAACAAATACTTGAAATACCAATTATTAATTTTTAAAAAGTTTAATTTTTTAACTGACCTAACAAACTCGTCGTTCGTTAACAAGATATTCTCGTTCTAAAAAATAACAATTTCAATAACTATACTTAAAAATTACAATACCTATTTACTTATACCATATAATATTGTAATATATTATTATGATGACTCTAAAATTATTGTACTATTTATGCCTTTATGGTTTTTTCGAATATCCTAACGTTGACGATAAAAATAAACGTAATCGACAGTATAAAAATACCCATTTGAAAAAAATTAATCATCTAAATTGTATACCCCAAGATCTAACTTATCAGCCAATTTGATTTTTCATTTTTAATATGATTTTTTTTTAGATAATTTAAGTCATTACAAAACAACGATTTTCATTGATTTGATTTTTGAAATGTTTAAAATTTTACATTTATGAAGGACAAAATACACTTTTAAATTCATATTACCCAAGAATTTTCTGAATATTTCAATAAAAAAAATTAATTTCAAACAAGTAATTAATTAGTTTTAAATATTTAAAGTTTACATTAGTGAAGTGGAGTAGAACAGCTATAGGGGTACCTAACAATGGTAGGTACCACGCAAATGTTGGTAGTTGGTCCATTACTCCACTTATTAAAACTTCAACCACTTATATAAATAATTAACTATAGTGTAATAACGCAAAAACAAAAGAAAAGAATTTAAAATAAAATGAATAAAATTCTAAAATAAATAATAATATAACTAAAATATTTAAGTTAATACAACTATTATATAACTAAGGCTCCTGCCAATAGTTATATWTTACTAGTAGAAGATATGAGGATATTAKAAATAAAAATGATGTTTGGTTGATTTATTGAGTTMCACTAAAGGATCTGTATTGTTCTCTACTCGTATAAGAGCTGGAGAATAAGCTACCAGATATAAATATTAAAATTGCGCTATTACCTTCCTCCTGATCGTCGGAGGGTTCTCGAGGTCGAAAACGATCGAGTACACCGTAGTAATAAAATATTAATTATTAAATTATAAAAATCTAATAAATACAATATAATATATGAAATTATATAAATATATG